TTGCCACAGTCAGGCAAGAATTTCACCTGGAAATCTTGTAGTAATCTAAGGCCAAAAGTCAAACACATATGGGCTCCTGAGTGGGAATAGGTTGAAAGCCTAGGGAACTGAGTTCAAGGCTGATCTGAGATCCAAGGCCACACGTCAGGATGTGTGTGGTGTGTGTGTGTGTGTGGGGGGGGGGGGGGTGTGGATGTGGGCTGTACAGGTCTCATCCACATAAATGAGTATGAGTTTGAATTCTCAAGGCAAAATCTGAAGAGGAGGTTGCACACACTAAAGCTGTGTGACCTTGGGCGAGTTGCTCCACTTCTCTGGGCATCAGTCTCCTCATTCGTACAGTGAGAGTCGTAAAGCACGTTGGGGAATGAGCTGTGAGGACTGAATGAGCTTCAGTAGGAAAAGCTCCAGAGCCAGGCTAGCAGGAAGTGCCGGCTGGATGGTGACAACTCAGCCTGTGAGGTCCTTACAAGCAGATGTCACATTTAAAGAACTCCGGCTGGGGGACTCCTGGGAAACAGAGGGGCTACGCGTCCTGGCCAACTTGGCTCAGTCCTGATTCTATATTTGACAGCTATATCACTTTGGTTATATTGCTTAACTTCTCAATGCCTCTTTTTCCTCACATGTAAACTGGGCACAGTGAGGGCACCTACTTTGTCGAACTGCTCTGCCCAGACCATCAGCATCACCTGAGATCTTGTCAGAAATGCAAAAGCTTTTGGCCTGCCCCAGACCTAAGGACTCAGGACTTCTGGAGGTGGGCCTGGCCTCCGGTGCCTCCCCAAGACCCCCAGCTCTCTCTGATGCACGTTCCAGTTTGAGGCCCACTGTTCATAAGGTCCACTGCTTGGAGAGATGTCTTGGAGCGAGTCTCACCTGCTGTTGTTGCCAAGTGGAGTATGACTCACAGTGACCCTATGAACAGTGGACCTGAGCCCTGTCCTTCCTGCACCGTCCTCAGCAGCTCTGACACACCTGAGCCCTTTGAACTGCAGTCACTGCCGTAATCCAGGGGTAGCTGGGGTCTTGCACATCCCACTCTTTGTAGCTTCTCCTTTTCTCCCTGAAAATGCCTTTGCCAGCACTGCCCTGGCCTTCAGCTGGGGGCCTCTGACAGTCAATCAACATTTATGAAAATCTTTTCCTTTTGTAGGAGGAGTTGCCAGAGAGACAGGAAGGCAAAGGGTTGTTATTAGAACCTTGTCTCAACTCATCTCCTTCAGCTGGGGACTTACAGACCCTGACAACTATCAGTCACCTTCAGAAGGACTAACAGAGCAGCCAGGGATGGAGGTGGGACCTGGTTCTGGATCCCCCAGCACGCCAGCCACTGCCCATCTAGGTCCCCACCCCTGGCCTACAGGCTGCCTCCCCCTATAGGCAGGGGACTGTACAGAGTTTCCTTCCTTCCTTTCTTCCTTCCTTCATTCATTCATTCCTTTATTCAATATGCTTATTGAATTTTCTACTTCCCTTGTGCCTCTACTATGTGCCAGGCCCTATTCTAGGTGAACAACATAAAGTCCCTGCTCTCAGGCATCCTCGTAGGAGGGAGAGTGGAGCAAGCAGTTAAGGCATCAATGACATTAGTGAGACACTCACTAAGCCTGGAATGAATGGACAGTGGTGGCAGTACAGGCCACGTGCTCCTTGGAGTCAGACAGACCCCAGCTTCGATGTTCTCCTGCTGCTTCCCAGCTGTGGGGCTTTGGGCAAACTCTCAGCTTCTCTGAGCCCAGTACTCTCATCTCTAGAGGGGATACGAGTGGGGTCTTCCTCAAGAGGTTAGGAAGAAGGAGCGCCATGCTCCAGGAAGCTAGAGGCTGCTGCTGTCCTCATTCAAGGTCACACAGTCCAGCCCACGTGCCACATTGGTTCTCCGTCTAGAGGAGCTTATCCACTGAGATATCTGGGCTCTCCTAGAACTAGGAGAGCCCCTCCAGGGTTTGGCTACTGATCTGACCTTGACTTTGCAGGCCAGGAGCCTGGGGGGCAGCGGGGTTTAGGGATTTACCTTAGGTCACAGTAGGGATGGGAGGCTTTATCTGCTGGGGGGCAGAGCTGGGACCCCCGCTGGCAGTCAGAAGGAGCATAGAGCCTCCAGGGGCTTCCCCATAAAAGGTCTCCCCCACCTCACTTCCCACGGGACATCAGCATGCCCACCTCTCCAGAAAACCTGCTGAGTTTAAGGAATGGAAGGAGGGGAGATGTTGTGTGGGGCACAGTCTGAACTGGCCCTTTATTTCACCTCTGCCCCCACTGCTGACTATGTCCTGATAGAAATCTCCAATGGAAAGAGCCTGGACCCTGTGGTCACACAGGCCTGGGTTCAAATCCTGGCTCTGGCACTTGCTGGCAGTGTTGCCTTAATCACTGTAGACCCCCTGAAATGCCCTTTCTGTGTCTACATCTGCTGCCATCCCAAGGTTAAAATGAGATGGTACTTGCACAACATGTGGCATAGGGCTGGACACGCATCCCATGCCCAGGTAACTCTTCTCTCTCTCCCTCCTACTCCCTGAAATACCAGCCTTGCTCTTCTCAAAACAAGCCCTGAGCTTTCCAGCCTCTGTGCCTTCAGTGATGCCCACGGTTGCCTGGACCACCCCGTCGGCCCTGCTCGTGTGGTTTCGCCTTCCACACAGATCTCTGCCTGCACCTCTCGCCCCGCCTGGTCGAGCCATTTTTCATGTCTCTAGATATACTTAGAACGCCAAGCAAGTGCAGAGAGCCTAAAAATAGCACCACAGCCTCCACTGATCGAACACTTCCTGTGTGCCAGGGACCACACTTAACAAGCACATCCATTATGACGCGGAGCCCTCACACAACCCCAGCGCAGTGCCTCTTGTCATGCCCAGTTTACAGATGAGGAAACTGAGGGCTGCCGAGCTGCTGCTCAGAGTCGCCCAGCCAGGAGACAGTGGCCCCAGGAATGGAGTCTGACTCTTCTTTTCTCTCCATCCCCCACCGGGCCCAGAGCTGGGAGAATTGAGCTCTTTAAGATCCCGGTAAAGGAGGAGGGAGGCAGGGAGGCAGGCAGCAAACCAGGCCAGAGCCTGGCCTGGTTTCTCCATCATTTAGGTTGTTGGTGAGCAGCCAGCCATGAAGACCCTGCCCAGGGCTTCTGAGCTGTGGCGTATTGGCTGCAAGTGAAAATGGGGAGACAGGCCAAGAGGGCCTGGGCTGGGGTCACCCTGGGGATCGACGCTTGAGGGGGAGCTGACCAAGTGTGGTGAAGATAGTGACACTCACTGGGACCACCCAAGACCGGTCACTAGAGTCTCTCTAATACCCTCCACTCGGCCCCTTTAAAACCACCTCCCCCCATTCCCAGCCTCAAGAAAAGAAGGACAGCTGGCATCGGAGGCCAGGGGACGCACAGCACCTGACCTTGCCAGACGCTCCACTCTCGGCTCTGACATAAAACTTTAATAAACTGTGCCCCATGTGCAAAATCCTTGTACTTTTCCCAAAGCAATTTTGTGACTATTGTCACGAGACTAAGACAGTTTTAGGACGAAATTGTGCACCCCGTTTGTTGACAAGGGATCCTGAGTGTGGAGAAGTGACATGACCAAGGTCACAGCTAATGGGGACAGAGAGGGAAGTTGTGCGGGGGGTGGGGGGTCAGGGGCTTGGGTTTCCACGCAGGAAACATACATAAAGTCAGTGGCCGATTTGGGTCCGTATCAGCTAGATATGAGGCACAAAGATGGACGTAACTCAGTCCCTATTTCCGAAAGAATTCATTAACAAACATGCATATGGCATTTGCTGTGGTTTAGCGCAGGATAAGGCAAGGTTCTGACCTGTGGTTCCTAAGATTGCTATGAGTCGTAGTGGACTTCACAGCACTGAACGGGAAGACACTCTCACATAATAACACTTTACCTATTAACATTTAATCCTTGCACTAACTTTATGAGATACGTCAATACCTTCAGTTCCTAGATGAGGAAACCAATGGCCAGACAGCTTACTTGAGTTGCCCAAGTCAAGACTAAAAAGCGGTAGATCTCAGATTCGAACCCAGCTACCCCAGGTCAGGTCTAAGTGCTCTGTTCACAGGCATGAACAGAGCATAACAGCCTGGAAAGAGGGTTGGTCTGGAGTCTGTCAGACTGAATTCTGAACCCCTGTTCTACCGGTTAGGTCCTAGTTCTTTGATGAGGAGAAGCCCTTTGAACCTCAGTTTGTATATCTGCAAAATGGAGCGACTTCCTAAGTCTAGGAAAGAAACCCATGAGAGCAGCAAAGCTAAAACACGCTCCGTGGACTGCAGTTGGATGTGAGTGCAGGAGGAAGGGGCCGTGGCCTGCCCATTGTGGGCTTGCCTGTGCTGAGATCAAAGCTTGAAAAGTAAGGCGAGCCTAGATATTCCTTTCCCTGCTTCCCACCTGACTCCTGGCTGGCTTTTGTGTTTTTTTTCCTGGCTCTCCTACAAGGCCGGAATGCTATGTCTGAATGAAGCCAAAGGAGTTTCTCAGACAGGAGGTTACAGGACACCAGGGAAAGATGCTGAAGAGGAGAGGAGATAAGGAATTTCCACCCAGGGAATCCGAGAACGTGAGAGCCGAAGGGTCTTTAAGGATCATTGACCTCATCTCCTTGGGTTACAATTGTAAGACAGAGGCCCAGAGAAGTGGAGAGGCTGGCCAAGGTCACACAGCCACCTTGGGCAGAGCTGAGGCCAGAAACCAGGGAAAAGTGTGGAAAAATCCCAACTTCTCCCAGGCACTCTATGTAACAGGGGAAAGAGAATCCACTCCTACTGGGCTGATTAAATTTAGTAAAAATATACCAGTTTTTCTTTGCCTGGCTCACGTGCCTAGGCCCTCAGAACCTAAATCTCCTTTTTTCTAATCTTGGGGTGTGAAGGGAACCCCTTATCTTCCCGTAAATAGCATAGCTTCAGTATTTTAGCATCTCCACATCCCCCCGACTCACTCCACGCCCCCCAACCCATTCCGTGCCGGGCAGTCACTATGCCTCACCTTCGACCCCAATTTTACCGTCCCCATCCTTGTCTCCAGCGGCCAGCAGCGTCTTGGTTTCTTTAGCAGAAAGGTCTCTGGCATCTGAGGAGAAGCCTTTGAGGATGAATCTGGAGGAAGGAAGGGGGAGAGCGGGAGGGAGTCAGGCGAGGTCACCTTGCAGGAGCTCTGGATGCCTGGTGGGCAGGCATCTGCACAGGGGACATGCCCAGCTGGGACAGGAGGCACGGCGAGCACGCGTGCAGCGTGCGGGGCCAGGTAGCCAGGCTGAGCCTCCCCGCAGTGGTGAGAGGGCAGCAAGGGCAGGCTGGCTTCGAGCAAGCATGGACACCCCCACCCCCGTCCCGTGTTCATTTGTGTATTCAGCACACATATGCGTGCCCTCCCTGTGCCAGGCCCCTGCTGGACACCGGGCATGCAGAAATTCTTCTAGGAAGGCGTGTGAAAAGAGGGGAAGATGGGGAGAAGAAAGGGGTGCAAGGAGGCATAGTCATCCCCCAAAGAGGGAAGGGAAGGATTCAAGAGGCTTCCTGGAGAAGGTGGTGCATGGAGCATAGGTAAAAGTGTGTAAGTGTGTGTGTGTCGATTATGGAAAGAGATACGATGGGTGGATATGCCTCCACTTAAAAATCACTCTCTCTTGAATGAGAACTGAGGCACAAACGGAGATTTGTACACCAATGTCATAGCAGAGTTAGTTACCATCACAAGAACATGGAAATAGTCCAAATGTCCAACCACAATGGAATGGTCTGAGAAATTATGCTACATTCACACAATGGAATACTATGCAATACGCAGGAGCAAAGATTTTGTAGATTTCTACCTAATTTGGGAAGGACTGGAGACCGTTATGCTGAGTGAATTCAGTCTCACAAGGACAAATACTGTATAATAAGACTGTATTGCAGAATGTGTACAAGGATCCAAAATGGGGGGGAGGGGAGCAGAGGGGTTAGGATGGGTGGGGGGAGGGTAATCATAGGGTCGCACAATTTGATGGGTAGAGGGGAGTTGAAGGAAATGGAAAAGATCCAGTGTGAAAAACAATGTATACGAACTTTGTAAATAAATTTGTATAAGATAAAAATTAAAAGGATAAAAAAACCAAATCCCTCTTTCTCTATTATGACAAATGGTGTAGAGAGGGTCTTTTTTAACCCCTCCTTCATCTTTATGACAGAAGTCAAGGCATTTTTGGCTGGAGGAGGCATCAGACACTGCTGGGACATAGATGTGCCCAGGAGCGTGGAGAAGGTTCAAGACAGGAGGTTTCTATGCACTTCTCTGGCTCCCTAGCCACAGCCTTCTCCTCTGCTTTGCTCCAAAGACCCTGGAGCCCCCAGAACTGGCTCTGTCTCCCCACCCCCCCATCTTGCTGCTAATGGATAGCAGAGGGGGGAGTCTGCAGGATGGAAGGTGCTTTTAGACAAATACAAATCAATGGTATCCTAAAGCCAACATCTTCTGCACCCCCCTCCACCCACCCGACAGCCCATGGTGTCAGGCAACAGAGAAGCCAACATCTGCCTCTCACGATCCTATTAAGCAATAAGAAAAACCTGCCTTTTCATCTGCATTGAATTATTAAGTGGCTGCATTCCATTAGCAGTATTAAGTGGCTATAATTTAACCTAGTTAGTGGTGCTTTCTGCTGAGGGGTTTATTATTCCTGGAAGCAGCAGCATCCCGGAGCATTGCCCCCGGGTCTGCGCACTGAGGTCAAGCACGGGGATTCTCTGTGAAGGGTGCAGGGAGAAGGGCTGATGGATCAGAACCCGAAAGCAAGCGTCCCAGCCCCCGCGCCCCCCCCATGCTCTCAGGCCCAGAGCCTGGCCCCCAGCAGCCTCAGTTTACCCCAGCTCATCCTCCTCAATGAAGCCGCTCTTGTCTTTGTCTAGGATGTGAAACACCTTCTTCACCTCGTCGGGGGTCTTTTTCTTCAGGCCGACCATTTGGAAGAACTTTTTGTGGTCGAAGGAGTCAGCAGCTGGAGGGAGGGTCAGGATAAAAGGAAGAGTCAGAAAAGGTAGCAGAGTGGGGAGGGAGAACGGGGTGGCGAGGTCACATTATGGGCTTCCCTTCTGCCAGCCATGGGGGGGGGGGAGATGAGGGTGAAGCTTCATCTGGGGGGTGAGGAGCACAGAGAAGAGGTTGGTTTTGCCCAAGGTCACACAGCTAGAAGGGGAAGAAGTGGACAGGCACTCAGATCTTGGTGGTCTCCAAGTCTGCTAGCAAACCCACCACATCCTGCATTGCCTGTTGTTGTTGTTGTGTGCCATTGAGTCGGAACCGACCCATAGTGGACTGTCCAGTGGATTTTCAAAGGCAGTTAATCACAGAGGAGGAGATTGACCATCCTCCTGTGCAGCACCTGGTGCCTTTGGGATTGCAGTGCAGCTTCTTACCACTAGGCCGCCAGAGCTCCTGCATTGTTAGGGGCAGGTAAAAGTGGGGAAGGGGCACTTCCTGAAGAAGCAGCTCACCTAAGAACTCAGCCAAGACTTTGAGTCTCCAAGAACCTTATTTCTAGGGATGCTCTAGTGATATAGGGCTGGGGGGAGCAGGCAGGGACCCAAGGATGGTGTGGGAGTAGAGGAGAAGACCCACCCTCTTTCTCAGTCACAGATGGTGGTACCTGCACAGAGAGGACAATCTTTCCTCTCAAGGTCACAGTGGAGGAGGACCCAGAAGTCCTGGCTTCATCTCAGAAGCCCGTTCTCATGGGTGTGGGGAAGAGCTTGGAAGGTTCCTGAGAGTCCCAGTTAAGCCTCTCCTCAAAAGTGGTGAGAAGATTCCAGGCACAGTGGATCGTTACTTGTGCTGGGAGGATGACTTCCCAGCACTTCCACATACCCAAGGGAAACAGGGGTGCCATCCCAGTTGCCTATCTTGAATTCCTCTCTTAGGACGCCCAGGAAAGGACACAAAGTTAGAGCCAGTAACTTGCTGAGGGAATTGTGGTTCAGAGAAATCAGTCCTTTTTCTCCCAGTCAAGGGCTGGAGGGCAGAAAAGTTTGTCCCTTTGCCCGGGGCCCTGGGATGAGCAACCACGTTCTGAAGGCACCATGGAGACCCCAGTTCTAATCCTCTTCCTCCAATTTGGTGACCTTGGGCAAAACTCTCACCCTCTGCCAGCCTCAGTTTTCCCTCGCGGTGACCAGGGAGGGGGTAGCTGATAAAGGCTTAGATGACTTAGCTGGTTAAGGCTGCCCACCCCGCTTGGATTGGAAGTTGGAAGCCTGAGGGATGCTCGGTGTAAGTACGGGCAGAGCAGAGCCCTGCGCTCAGGGAAGGTGACCTCGCTCTCCGGCCCTCTGGAGCTCTGAGATGAGCTCCAGGAGTGGTTCCTTAGGCCAGCGACAGCCACCTCTAGGTGGGAAGAGTCTGGTTCAGAGCCAAGGTCGGGAAGGGATACACCCTTGCAGCCCCTCCACGTGCCTTAAAGGGGAAGCTCAGAGCGTGTCTAGAACCAGCGTGGAGGTCCTGTTTTGCAGGTCCTTCCTTGGACCAGGGTCCTCACCCTGGGTCCCAGACCCTTGAGCTCTCGCATCCTGAGACCCTGGACTAATCACTGGCAAGTTTCGATGTCTCAGGCGGGACACGGCTCCCTTGCCCATATGCCCACAGCTCCCGCCAAGTTCTGCCTGGACGCATTTGAGAAAGCTGACGACCCCCGCCCAGCGCCCTGTGGAATGCGTGAGCAGAGGAGTTCAGGGAGACCTGGTTTGGCCTCTGGGGTCTGCAGGGTGCAGGAGCAAGGGTAGTGAATTAGGGGAGGGAATGCGCAACAGAGCGCGCTGCTCACCGGCAAAGGCCCCCACTGCCTTCTTGATGTCCTCAGCGCTGAGCACGTCTGTCATCGACATCCTGCAACTGTTTGAGCGGGCAGAGCAAGTGCGAAAAGATTAAAAAGTGCTTTTCTCATCATTTCTGCTCATATGACCAGCGCTGCAGTGCTGCGCGCCGGGCGCACACCCGCCCCACTGGCTCTGCGCCAGGGGGCGCCGGGCGCGGCGCGCGGCCAGAACCGCTCAGTGCAGCCGAACCACCGAGCCGCGCGCGCCCGGGAGGGACCCGGTGGGCGCCTTGAGCTCCCGCACCGCTCCGCTGAGCCCCCGCTGGGATCCGCACGAGTCCAGGGGCTGCCGCCAGGGCCAGAGGCAGCCTCTGGAATTCAGGGGGCATCCCAGCCACCAGCTTAGTCCAGCAGGCTTTGTCAGCCGTCAAGGGCACGCAAAAGGTGCGGGCTTGGCGCAGCGCAGGGACCCCGGTCCGTGTGCTTCCCAAGTTCCGGCCCCTTAGGTAGGACTTTGAACTTGCAGGAAGGAGGCAGGCCGCCACCTTCGTGGATCTCCCTTTCTCTTCCCATCCCTACCTCAGCCTCTTCTCCAGTCTGTCTGGGATACAAATTTATGCTGCAAAACCTGAGCGCTGAGGTTGCGAAATCTGACCCTGGACGCAGCAAGGGGGTGGCAGGGACCAGCGGGCGCTGCTAGCTTGCTCTGCGGGGAGGGGCCCCCACCCCACATCTGGCTTTCTGAAACCTGCCTTTTGTATTGTTTTGATTTTGCCAGCCTCGCTTTTCAAAGAGCCTTTTCTTAGAGTCTCATGAACTACTTTCTTTAGCGATCTTCTTGTCCACAGAGGAGTCTCTTGGGGTCCAGACTCCCCACTTCCCCCACTAGTCTTTTGTAGGGAGCATGGAAGGGGGGCTACTTGGAAGCTTCATGCCCCTCACCCACTGGGAGACCAAGGGTCTTATACAGGCACAGGGGAGACTCTTTCCAGGCCACACTTTCTTGACAGCCTTCAGCCTGAATTTTGCTCCCAGCCTCACCTCTGGGAAACGGGACACTCCCTAATTGGATACAGCTCAGCTGCACGCTTTCCCACGGCTCTCAAGGATCCCAGGATGCCACCAGCTGCCCACAGGGCCTTGGGGAGTACTGGGTTCAGGGGACCTGGGTCCCCCACCTAGAACTGCACTACCTCCTGTGACCTTGGGCTGTACGTAGCCTTACTTCACTCTGGACTTCTGCCATCTCTGCTCTAGTACTGGATGGTGGTGGTGGTCCCTTCCGGGCAGAGTCCTAGATGGTGAGGGGCTGGGGCTGAGGTGGCCCTTGGGGGTGGAGGGGGGAAGGGCTGTCCAGCTGCTAGTGGCTCAGGTTCCCTCACACTCTGTCAACACCATCTCCCTGCTCAGCCTGGACCCCTGCCCTTCTTGGAAATGTAAGGAAGTGGCTGGCTCCAGCCGCCCCCTGCCTGTGAGTCAGCTCCTTTGGGCCACCATCTGCCAGCTGGCTTAGAAGACACCGACGCTGAGGCTGCAGCTCTTGACTTGACACCCCTTGGCACCAAGCCTTCCCCCAGACCCTTAACTCTGTGGTCTTTACTGCTGTTTCTCACCTTCCCTCCTCCCCACAACCAGCTGGACTGCCAGCTTGGGCCTTGAGGGCTTCTGTGCTGTCATGTCAGCCCCCAGACTCAGCTGATCCAAGGGGACCCTAACGGTAGAATCTGTCCTCCCAGTTAAAGGACTCTTATGGGGAAACTAAGGCTGGGAGAACCAGTGAAGGACCCAAGCACACATGGGAGGTAGTGGTTGAGCAGGGGCCAGCCCGGGTCTGCTGAGCCAGGTTCACTGATTACTCTGGCTCCTCTCCCCAGCACGTGGGGCTCAGCCCTCCCGAAGCCTCTCCCCAGTTCTTAGAGCATCCTTGAATACTGACTCCCCAGGCTCAGACTGGAGACCCATCTGGGATGCACCTTCTTGCCCTCCTTCCTTCTCTGGGCTTCATTCCCCTGGCCAGAGCACCACCAAATGATCCCCTTTCAGCTCTGCCCGTGATGTTGGCCAACCCATCCATCCTCACTATACCCTTCTGCCCCCTTGGCCCGCTGAGGGCCCCCTCTGATGGCATCACCAGAGGCTACAATATCTGACTCCATCCTTCTCGCTGTGGAACTTCTTGTTCTCAGGACCAGACAAGGAGGAGATTAGTCCAGGTCACAGAGGAGGCAGGAGAGAGAAAGAACCCTACTCCTACCTCTTAACTCTCACTGGGGGTCCAGGGGAAGGGGAAATACTGTTCCCTCCAGCCCCCTCCAGCTCAGGAGCTACCACTCACCTGGGTGGGGGTGGAAGGCTGGAACCTGCACTGGTAGACTGGCTGGTGGCAGTCCTGTCGTGAAATGAGCCTGGTGGTGGGATGGCCACCTATATAGGCTTCTACTCTGGCTATTTTGGGAAGTGGCGCTCCCCCCAGTCCCCAGCCCCCTCCCCTTCCGGTGTCAGGTACTCCTCCACCATGGTGCTGGGTGTCTGTATCACATTCACTCTCCCTGGGCCCATCGAGCCAGACCTATTAATAACCCTTGGCCCCTGCCTCCCTGCAGTACCTAAAACTGAGCCCCAGGCAGATCTCACCTCCTCCAGGAAGCCTTCCATGACTACCTCTGAGGGCAGCAGCGTTTCCATGCTTGACACTCATGAAAGAACAGGAAGAAAGGAGGCACCGGAGGGAATGGGGAAGGAATGGAGCAGGAATAGTTCCCCCTGCACCTGGGCTCCACTAAGCCCAGGCCTAGGCTCCAGATTACCATGATAAAGCAAGCAATTTGGAGTGTTTGTCTCCCAAGTGCACGTGGGAGTATTTACAGCCTCAGAAATACAGCGAGTCCAAGTCGTTGTGAATCGAAATCAACTCCATGTTTGGTTGTGGTGGGTTTGTTGCATTTTGTTGTCATTGTTGTTGTTTTAGTGTGTGAAGAGGTTATGCTTAGATTATACCATAGTCTATTTAAATTGCACAAAAGCTTCAGGAAGAGTTTGAAATACTGGGAGAATTTTCAAAATGCAACATAGGGACATGAAGTGAGCACAGGCTGTTGGAAAAAGGGCGCTGATAGGTTTGCCTCACGCAGGGTTGCCAAAACCCCTCCACTTGTAAGAAACCGTGAAGGGCCATAGTGGAGTCCTAGAATTCCTGTACTGGATCGGGACCCTGCTACGCGGGAGTGGTCGTAGAGCACCAGGACATAAAAGCAATTTTCTAGCTCTCTGCTCAAAGCCACGGACTCGGGATGCGATGGAGCTGGCAGTGACCCTGGCACTTTGATGAGATGATCTCGTGCCTGGCAGAAAGGCATGCTCATCGTGTTTTCAGACGGGTCTCCTCTTTGCTTTGTGTCTCAGTCTCCTCATCGGTAAAACCAGCTCAGCCTGTTCTCTGTACATGAACTTGGAGGACTGCTGTTGCTGTGTGCCGTTGAGTCACCTTCTGAGGGAAAGCAAAGATTGGGTTTATATACACAGACCGGGCATGAGGGTTACACGAAGGTCACTGTGGTTCAGCTAAGATTTCTTTACATTCGGGAGTCGTTCTTGTTTCTGACTGCTCGTGGGTGTCCAGGTCCGGAGCCACGTACAGTATGTAGTCAGGGAGTGGTAACCAAGCTGGGCCAGCATATACTGGGAAACACAAACCTTAGCCATACATGTTATTACCAAAACGATGGAAGCATATATTTCTTAAAATGGCTTCTCTGATGCTAACCTATAAAATTACTTCTTTAATGCTTAGTGTTTAAGCTGCTACCACATGCCCTCTTCCTGTTAGTACACATTCAAATCACCGAGTGAGCATCTGAGTCTTCAATTGCTAGGGGCTCAAAATACTGAAGTAAAAACAGAAGTTTCACAAACTCAGTCTGAGTTTGAGCAGACTGGATTGTGTGATTAAGGAGTCTGATTAGGAGGAGGAGAAACAGAAGTGTTAGGGGTCTTGAGATTTCATTGAGTAAGGACGTTAACTAGGGATTTCAGCTAAGCATTTTCTGATTCTCTGTCTGGATTCTCATTCTGTCAGACTTTGAGGTTTTTTTTTAAATTCTTTGCAGAATATGAATAAAACACTTGGCTGATGGGCATAAAAGCAACAAGCTTCTCTTAAAGTAGCACAGAACACCCCCACCCCCACCCCAAGAGAGAAATAGGAGATGTAAAACTTCACCGGTTCTCGAGTATAACTTTGGCCAGGGATTGAACTTGGTTATGCAGAAGGGAAGCGGCACACTGAGGGCTTTTAAGATACTTGCATGTCTCTTTTGACTCCTGTTGTAGAGGAGAGCTGCTGCTCCGGCAATGCTGAGACCCGACAGATATTACAGGGAAGGCGTGCTGCGCAGCACCGAGGCCGGGCAGCTGAATACATTTTAGCTCCTTTTGGCCACTATAAACATACATTTGAGAAAGAATGTAAACACAGACACATAAAATCGGTCTGGTTACTAGGGACATTTGAAGACATTTCGCGAGTTAGCTAAGAGTTATTAGGGGCAAAATAGGTTAGGGAAGTCTCAAGAATGACGGTGTTCATACATGCGGACTTATAGATTGTAGAGTGGCTGAGCACCTTGGCAAAGCCAGCAATCAGAGGCGAGTTCAGAATGGGTCAAGTTGAGAAACAGGTGCACTGCAGAGAGCATGGAGACCAGAGTGGGCGGCAGGATTGCAGCCAGTGGCTGGTGATGAGAGAAAGGAGGAGCGCTGGGTCGAGCAGGGTGCTGGTGAAAGAGATGATCTCCCAACTCAGCTAATGGTCCGATATGTTCTACAACCGTCTCTGCATGGTGTAGCTGACGCTGAATGGTGAACGTTAGCTAGAGTGGTGGCCATCACGGCTTAACAGTCCGCTTCAGCGACTCGGGTGCTGATTTCACTCCTGAGAAATGAACCCACAGGTCTCGGAATTTTGATTACAGCAGGAGGAGTCAGGATAACTTGTCACGCTCTGATTCACACAGGCTGCAAAACCATTTTACATTGTTAGAAGTGAGGTCTTTGGTTGAAAAGTTTGAGTAAGGATATTTAGTGGGCTAGGGGTCTGGGCCAAATCTAATGCCCAACTGGCTTGAGTGTGCACGTATAATACTGACGAAATTTCACATCAATTTTTTTCTTTCTAATTCTGAAGCTTTGTCTGATATACTTTGGGCATTTTGCAAGGAGGGACCAGTCCTTGGAGAGGGACATCGTGCTTGGAAGCGTGGAGGGGGACAGCGCAGGAGAGGAAGACCCTCAATGAGATGGATTGATTCAGTGACTGGGGTAATGGGGTGGATGTGTCAGAGATGGTCAAGTTGGCACAGGATAGAACAGGGTTCAGGGCTGTTTTACATAGGGTCACTATGAGTCATAAACAATTCAGTGCTACATAACAACAACAATCTCCAATCTTAGCTGAGTGATTAAATCTTGCATTTTCTGCCTTAACAATAGTGACCCTACGTACAACAGCTCTGAACCCTGCCCTGTTCTGAGCCAGTCTCACGGACTCCAACCCACCTAACCCCGTTGCCACAGTTACCATGTCAATCCGTCTCATCCGAGGTCATCTTCTCCCCTTAAAATGACACACGATACTCTGCTTGAGCGTACTTAGAACAGGAGGCTCGCACCTTCATGAGATTTGCGTGATGTTTGACGTCTCTCTCAGACTGGGGAGGACAGCACGTGGGAGTGTTTTCAAAATGCATGAGTGAATGAATGAACTCAGTGACCCTCTACTGAGAATCTCGTCTGTACTGAGAGGCCCTCCCTCCACACTTGCTCACCTGGAGACCATCTCCAGAGTGCTGATGCTGCCCACACCGCATCCTGATTTCTGATGCTGACGTGAGGATGTCCCGCTTCCGTGCAAAAGCTGCTGGGCGGGGGGGAGATGCTCTCATTTTCTCTTGCTCCTTTGATCCATGGATGAAAAGAGCAGAAGGGTGGGCTTGATAGAAGCGGCTGTCGATGTAGCCTGGGCTCACAGGGCTGGGTGTAGTCTAGGATGAGGATCATAAAGTAGAGGAGTGTGTAGATAGGCATAGATCTCTGAGGTCCAAGCTGACTGCACATTTTTATTGTTCATTGCTGAATGGTCGTGGTCTCTGGAGATGGTAAGTTTTGGGAGAAGGTGGAGGCTTGATTGGGAGATGATTCATTGGAGTTGAGAATTGTAGAGGGTTAGAGCTAGGGGTCGTCTCTGTAGTCACCTCATCTGACAGGAAGAAGAACCAAGGTCAAGGTCACTTGCTCCAAATCACATAGCAAGCTTTGGAGACCCAAGGGGGTGCTCTGGAGATACCTAGAAGGTGTGAAGGTCAGAACTCTATGGTCAGGGTTGGTGGTGACCAGGGAGGTCAAGGAGTTGAAGCATGAGAATGACCAAGCTCAGAGACAGGAAGTGGCAGAGTCCTGGGGACTAACATTTTCAGACAAGCCCTACTAAGGGGCTGCGGAAATTGTCACATGTGTTTGTTGAACAAGTGTGCAGGGTTCTGTGAACGCAGTGTCACTCTCACCCATGTAACCCATCTACGAGGTGTTATCTGAAGATATATCAAGGCTCAGAAAAGTTAGATAACTTGTCTACAGTTACTGAGCAGAGCCAGAATGGAAAACCAGGTCCTGGTGGGCCCAACATCCTTTTTTCCCTTTCAATTCCATCAGATAGATTCTTGAGAGGATGGATACAGCAGGCCCTGTAAGAGAATGCTTGACAACTCGGATTCTTTCTCTGTTGGACCTCATCTGTGTTCTTCACATCCCTGCAGTTAAAGACATCTGCGTCATCTGAAGGGAGCTCTGGTGGTGTGGTGCATAGGGAGGGGCACTGCTAATCTAAAGGCGCTACTTCTCCAGTGGTTCAAATCCACTCGCAGGTCTGAGGGAGAAAGATGAGCATTCTCCTCCCCTGAAATTTACGGCCTCAGAAACCTGCTGGAGGCTCAGCTGTGAGTTGGTTCTGACTCCCTGGTACCCAACAATAACTGTGCCTCGATTTCCCCTCCCTCTAGCCCTGGTGGTGAAGTAATCAAGCACTCACCTGTTAACTGAAGGGTTGATCAGCTCAAACCACCAGCCCTTCAATGTTAGAATGTCAGGTTCCTTTAACCACAGCACCACCGACCGGGCTCCCTGAACTAGGGTTGTAAGGTTGTCTTAAACATGAATGGAATACCTTGAAACACCCTCCCATTCTTTTTTTGTTCTGAATCTGTCCTAATGAGGCAGCTTTCATATTATGAATTTGCTTTACGGGGACCTGGACGTCAGAAATGTTGTTACACGGTTTATCTGTCAGGCCTATTTCAAACGCAAGTGACAAAAACCCTGACCCA